TTGACATGCTAAAAGCCGCTGATACTGACTTATGGAAAGGTTGCACTAAAATGTCACAACTCTCGGCAGTTGCAAGATTACTCAATATTAAGGCAGAGCACAATTTGTCTGAGAGGTGTTACGACACTATTTTCCAACTGTTCAAAGATGGACTTCCAGAGGACAATTCAATGGTTTCTGATTTTTATGAGACAAAAAAACTCATTGAAGGTTTAGGACTACCGGTGGAGAAAATTCACTGTTGTGTCCAAGGTTGCATGCTTTTTTGGGGCCCAGATGCTGAGCTAACTGCATGTAAAATTTGTGAAAAGCCTCGTTACAAAGACTTGATAAAAAAGATACCGAATAGATACATGTTCTATTTTCCCCTAACGCCGAGGTTAAAGAGATTGTACATGTCAAAGAGAACAGCGAAGTCCATGCGTTGGCATGCGGAGCAAAGTCACGATAGTGATGGAGATATGTGCCATCCTTGCGATTCTGAGGCCAGGAAGCAATTCAACCTTTCTAATCCAACATTTGCTTCTGAAGTTCGAAATGTAAGGTTGGGTCTCTGCACAGATGGTTTTCAACCTTTCGGGCAATCAGGTTCTCAATACTCCTGTTGGCCAGTAATGGTCACTCCTTACAATCTCCCGCCGAATATGTGCATGAAAGAGGAACACATATTTTTGTGTGCAATAGTTCCGGGTAAGTCTAATCCCAAACAAAAGATTGATGTTTACTTACAACCATTAATTGCAGAATTGCAGATGTTGTGGTCCGAAGGCATTGAAACGTTTGATGTGTCGTTGAGTCAAAACTTTACGATGCGTGCNACGACATAATCTTGATGTTATGCACATAGAAAAAAATGTGTTCGAAAATATTTTTAATACTGTGATGGATGTCCAAGGCAAAACGAAAGACAATGCCAAAGCAAGGGAGGATACAAAGTTATTTTGCAACAGGAAAGAGTTGGAAAGAGATTGTGCATCAGGAAAATATCCTCAGGCAGCATACACTCTTGACAAAGCTTCACGAAAAGCTTTTTTAGATTGGGTAAAGGAGTTGCGATTTCCTGATGGATATGTCTCAAATTTGGGACGATGTGTTGATCCAACAAAACTAAGAATGTTTGGGATGAAAAGTCATGATTGCCATGTTTTCATGCAACGCCTTATTCCCATAGGCTTCCGAAATTTATTGCCCAAGGGTGTATGGGAGGTTTTAACTATGCTCAGCAACTTCTTTCGTTCTCTTACTGCTAAAAGTATTTCGGTGAATGACATGCAGACGCTAGAGAAAAACATAGTTGTCATACTATGTAAGCTAGAAACAATATTTCCCCCTGCATTTTTTGACAGCATGGAACACTTGCCGGTTCACCTACCTTGGGAGGCTAGAGTTGCTGGTCCAGTTCAGTTTCGATGGATGTATCCTTTTGAGAGGTACGAACTGAACAAATATTATGTGTCAAATAATATATCTTAAATCCATAATTAATCCATGTATTCGCTTGTGTTATGCAGATACCTAAATCGTTTGAAGCGAATGGTAAAAAACAAAGCAAGGGTAGAAGGATCTATTGCTAATGCGTATATTGTGAGAGAAGCTTCTCATTTTTGTTCGCATTACTTTGAAGATCATGTTTACACTCGACTACACAGCGTACCGCGTAATGATGAAGGAGATGTTCATGCAGCCATCGAAAGTAACCTAAGCATTTTCCAAAGCGCAGGACGCCTAAGCGGTAAGACAAAAAAGCGAAGACTTTCTGATGATGAGTTAAAGGCGCTGCATCATTACCTTATGCTAAATAGTGTCGAGATTGAACCATTCATTGAGTATGTCTCTAATTTTATCTATTTCTAGTAAACCATTCCGCGAGTGAACACTTAAGGCATATGATGTTCATTGCAGGAAATATGTCGATTCAGTACGTGACTCAAATCCTGACATTACTGATGAGGCTTTACTTCTGCAAATGGAAGAAAGTTTTGCATCATGGTTTGAAAAACATGTATATATATCATAGCCTTAATTCAGTTAACAACTCTATTTAGTC